TGCAAGCAATCAACCAAGCTCAGAGAACACCAAGAACTCCACAGGTCTACCCTGAGCTATATTCTCTTCTATTGGAAACACATATTTTTATTAAAGCCTATTCAATTTAGGACTTTATGCAGGCAAAGTATGTTCTCCATCACTGAACACTGAGCTGTTCCCAGGTAATAGAAGGTTTCCATTTGATCAAGGCAGGTTAAAATATGTAGAGTGGGAGGAAGGGTATGTGGCTTTCGAGATGTCAGAACTTCAGTATAACTACTACCACTCCAGTATAGCTCCCAGCATCCTTTCTCCAATGACCACATTCTACAACCCAAAGAGGCAGATTCCCAATTCCCAATATAGTAATATCTTAAAATCTTCCCATTAAGTTCCAGTGAATCTAGAATAGTAGTTCCAAGTGATGTCAATCAAACATGCTGCCAGTGTCTTTAAAAAAGAGATTACTCATAGTTCAAAAGCTACAGAAGTCAGAAAGCAATGATTTCTTATCAAGAGGAAAGTTGTTGCTAGTTGTTCATCTTCTTAGAACACAGTTTAATCAAGACTTAATCAAAAAGAAGGATCAAAGCAGCACAAAGCAATTTAATCATATGTCAATTAAGAGACTAACACATAAAATGCAAAGCAGGATTAGGCTGTATCATAGGCTCATCTTAATGACACTAAGGGATAAAGTGAGATGCTTGAGTTCTCTTTCAGAATGTTGAGATCTTCTGTTAAAGCTGTTAACTCGAAAGTGACTTCTGATAATGTAAAAATAAAGTCCTCCCAACTGTGTTCTACTGATGCATGAAACAATTATGTCTACTTAAACAAAACAGGATTCCACGAAGATTAATATTTTAATTCATAATGTGCAGTAAGAAACTCCCTTACTCAAAAGTACCCTTGCACTTTTTACCCTTCCAGAGTTTTATTTCCATAAATATATCATCTAAATATATATTTACATTTTAAATGGCTTTTTTGGGCAAGTCATTTAAAATGAAAATATTTTAATATTAAATTTCAGAGTGGAGAAAGGAAAGAAATGGATGAGAGATATAGATACTAGGGCTATGCAGTGCTCCAGATGTGATGCAGAAGAGGTGCTTTGGAATGGGCAAGAGTGCCAACACAACAACTTCTTAGAGCAACTGCTATTATTTGCAGGATCTTGAAGCTGTAGTGGCAGCCGCCCTGCAGAAACTGGAGAACAAAATTCTGCTTTAATGACACGTGTGCATTCACACTGCAGCCTATTTTGAAGCACCTCTTCCAAACTAAATCCAAAGCATTCACTGCCCTAATATAATGTCTGAATTTGATGTCTGAATGCTTTCATTCCCAGGTTCTGAAATACATTTTCGTAAATAGAAGCTAGTCCTCTTCCAAATTCTTGAGTTCCAAGATGTAAGCCATCTCTTATCTGCCTACCAAGGAAAGTTAACAAACTTCCAACTTGGAATTCTATGCATGTTTCCATTCATTTTTAATGGTATTAACAATAAACGCTACATAATTATTCAGGCTTCTTGAAGGATTAGTAGAGACATATTTCCCCAAGCTGTGAAGAGAATGAAGGGTATACTATGAAACCTTTGAGCTCTTTCAATTAGCACTTGCCAAAGCAAAGGACAGATCACATGGCAAAATAGTTTCTGGAGTGTAGGCTCTTCCATACAGCAGCATTAAAGTGCCATTATCCCATGTAGGTGCTGGCAGAAAAGTATGCTAATTTAGAGAAGAACTGACACATCTCAACCCTTATTCTGCCTCAGCAAACAAAGCAGCTTATGAGTTTGGTCCCCATAAGAAGTGGGAGGGGGACAAGAGGAATGGGGTAGGGAGCACCTCCTTCTTTGCCAGTTACTCTGTGTGGAGCCATTGCCCACTGCTTCTCCCCCTGCTCTTTTCTTGAGTCGCTGGAGAAGTGAAGTAAGAAAGGAACTGGGTCTTCTGCTCAGTTCTCTGAGGCCGGAGAGTGATCATTCTGTGGGATGACAGAACTGATGGGAAAGGAGCCATTTTCTCTCTCTTTCCCCACCCCTTCTTTTGCCACTCAAGGCAGAAGTGGGGAGAGAGAAGAAACCTGGTACCCACCTCTTGTGTGATGAGTGGCAGGGAAGAGGGGGAGATAAGGAAGGGAGGTGGGTCTTTTTTCTTTTTACTTTGGCAGGGGCTAGCCAAAGAACTGCTTTTCCATGGGGTTAGGGAAGCATCTGGGAAGGTGACTCTTCAGGCTGCATTCCCACACTAAGTGGCGAGAAGACCATTTCCCCTACTCCAGTAGGAAGGAAGTGGGGAAGCAACTCTGCAGATGGCTTTTTGGAACTTTACTGTACCAGAGAGAGTGCTAAGAATGGCTTCTTCCACTTCCTTTCTCTTCTGGGAGAGAAGTGGGGAAACAGGTCTGGAGCCTCCCCTCACCCCTTGCTGCAATTAGGCTGCCTGCTCTCCTGCCCTCCATGGGGGAAGAAGCTTTACCATGGGGCCACTTCCTGTCTTTAGCTGGCACACCTGTGGTACAGCTGCCTCCCCTGTGGGTTAGGCTCTGCCGTGCTTAATCCATTTGGCAGAGTTCACTGTTGACATGCGTTCAGTGCTGTTAAGGAAGATTGCTGGATATGTGTGAAAGGCATACCTACCCAGCTCCATGGATAAGACACTGCAGAGGGTGGAGGTTTAAGAGGAGGCGTCCCCCCCACATCAGGCAAGGTTGGCAAGAGAGATGGGAGAGATGGCTTTTTGGTACAGTGTTCTCACCCTGACCAAAGGGGAATGGCCCTGAACACCAGTGGTTGGGGGGGGGGATGCATCTCAGGTGACCAATATGAGAGGGCATGTCCAGACTCCTAACTTTACCTCAAACTGAGGCACTACCTCATGGCACTTGCTGGCAGAAGTAAAAAGCCCTGCACTTTAGCAGTGAAGCAAGAAAACACAAGTAGCAACTGCCTCATTGGGGCAGGGCAAACTGCAGGCTACATAATCTGTTCATGTCCTCCTCTAAATTCATTTCTTGAAATAGTGCTGGACCACAGTTAGCAGGCTATGCAAAAGAGGCCGTGTCACTTCAGGTGTGTGAAGACACGGTCTTTTTCAGCAGCATACTTGCTTCCAATTCCAGTGTAAACAAACATGGATGGCAGGAATAAGAATAGCTTACAACTATTTGCCTAGCTATCCACTTTTAACTGGTTCAAAGTATTCTTAAAATATGGGAGAGCTTTCAGACATATAGCAAGGCGGAAGCAAAGGCAGTTGTTACTCTTCAGCAGAACACTGCTTTCTGACAAGCATTAGATTGATATTGTAGCAGGCAACTTTCCTGCTAAAAATGTGATGCAATTTCTGTTGGTAGAGTGGACATTCAAAATGCAGATCAATGGGGCATTTGGGGATGGGGGTTCATTAGGGACAGAGGCCAGAAATTAAATGGGTGCTATAGCAGCTTAAAAGTGTTGAATTCAGAATTTAAAAACAGATCTGAAACATGTGTTTTACCTATATGCCTTTTAAATTTAAAATATGGCAACAGGGTACATGAAGACATATGAACGTTACATTCACAATAGTACAATAAATGTTTTCAAATTATACTGGAGATGTATTTAGCGACTGCCTCCTATAGTGACTGTTGTTACAGGTTGTTAAGCGAGGATGTCACGTGTTCACCATTTGCAACCTCCTGCTGGCTTCCCCATTGACTTTGCTTGTAGTAAGCCAGCAAAGAAGGTGGCAAATGGCAACTACGGGATGCTGAGATGGCCGGAACTTTGACGACCAGTTGTGTACAAGTACCACTTGTTCAGCATCATTACAAGTTTGGTTGTGAAAGAGTAGTTGTTGCGTGAGGACCACCTGTACTGAGTCATATTTCAGGGCAGCCCCAAGTATAATGTATTATAGTTATAGATAATCCTCGTTTAGTGACTGCATTATACAGCAACTATATGGAGTTACAACAGTGATGAAAAAGTAACTCTGCAACCAATCCTTGCATTTATGACCATCGCAGGTCTGTAAAGCAAAGGAAAGCTGAAGTAAGATCATAAGCACAGTCACGGTTTCACTTAGTGACTGCTTTGCTTAACGACCAAGTTGCTGGTCCCAATTGTGGTCACCAAATGAGGACTATCTGTATACCTTGTATGTTGGAAGCCAAAGGTTCCTGCTATGCTAACCCTATTTAGACTTAGGCCTTCTTTTCAGTTCTCTTTTAAATAAATTTTATTTGAATTCTAAATGGTGAATAAATTCAGCTTAGGATAAACATACTGTATATAAGGAGTTATTAGAAATTATGCAACAATATATTTTAAAAAATAATTAAAATGTCTAAGCATATTTTCCATATTTTTTCTTACCAAGACAAGGATAGGATTACATATCCCAACATCAACAGTGTAAACATGATAATATTTCTACCAACCAAGAATGCTTATGAGGAACATAGAAAGGGGGAAAAGAGCTCAGCGTTCCACCAGACCTTAAAATGAGTAGGCCTTTATGAACAGGCACTAAGCAGAGATACAGTAATAGATAGATATGATAGATAGATATCTATTATTTCCCCTTTTTGGGTTACTTTGCTTAGCTAGCTAAAATAACTTCAACACAATTTTGCTCAAAATTGATTAGTTATCTGAGATAAAAATGTCAGTTAACATTCATTTGTATCTATCCTCTACACTGACTAAAGGAATTATAAATCAGCCTTATGAGTTGGAAATATAAAAATGTAATTTTGGAGGAGCAGTATCTCCAACGTTTTAGAGAATAAGAAATATTTGTTAAGTTAACGCTCAAAAGTTGGAGAGAACAATCTGGACAACTGTCTTTGAGCATGGTATTTCAAAACCAGGGTGAAATCACAGAAAAAATTCCTGGCACCAGCACAGTCACAGAATACTATCACAAAATACTGAAAAAATTATATTAGAGATTTGTGGAGAAGCAACTGTTGCCTTAATTACAAACATGCTTCTCAAGTGCATTTGACGATGGCTTACCTCATTGTCTGATTCCACAAGTACTTGATCATATTCGCTAAGAGCTACTAGAAACATAATGGAGGTGACATTTTCAAAACAGTGTATCCATTTTCTTCGTTCCGATCGCTGTCCCCCCACATCCACCATTCTGGAATAGGAGCAGAATTAACAGAAATCAAAACAATGTGCAAACACTAAGATGTTAGGGACATGTTTTCATTATTATATTATTTATATTATCTCATGGTCAATGACAATAGAGTGAATACAAGCAGCCTTCAGCATTCTGCATTTACATCGACAGCAGGCATACATTTGGTTTGAAAGGGCATCCAGATAAATGAGGCGGGTAATAGTCCAGAAACCAACCCAGTAACAGCTTAATATTCTTGAACAGAATTCCAGCATCATCATTCCAGAAGAAGTTTACTGAACAGAGGTATAGATAGTGTTGATAGACAGTTACATAGTCTCAGCCTTTCTCCTGAAAATATAGGCCAATTAATCCTTGTAATGGCCACATCAATGCTAAAGGAACAAATTAGGGTCATTGATTGTCAGAGTGATCTCACCAGCATTCCTGAATTTTATCACCAAATGTTAGATTGCCACAAGCCCACTACTGTGGGGCATTAATATACTCTAACCCTGAGTAAATATAGATGGGCTATTTCTAAACCCATTTTAATGCTCTTCCTTCTGCACTGTTAGTGGGTAGATTTCATGAGATTCCCTATCCTCAGAGACTTTGCACTTATGGCTCTAGGGAGGTAGAAATTCTTGTCTTCCTACAGTGTTCCTTATATGATTTCCTGAGAGGTGCTTTGATCTCCCCATTTATTTTCAAATTTAAGGGTCATACAGATTAATTTTATATTTACTCACATTCCAGGTTGCCAAATACCTTTACAGAGCCATACAACTGTGCAAAACTTTGACATAGATAAGTTGTTCTATTATTTCATGATAATATTTTGGTAATGAGTTTGCTTTAGCAATCTTTTTTTTTAAAAAATTTGTAACGCTGGTCAAAGGCTGTAATGAAGAAAGTCAAATGACATCTTTACTAATAAAAACAACTTTTTTTTTTTTGCTTCTCAGTTAATAAAAGTCAAAATAAAGAACTCCAACAAAAGTTGTATAGAAAAGGATTGTCAAAAATAGCATTTTGTTGGAGATGTAGTAAGGACAATGCTTCTTTAAAGCAAGTGTTTTTACAATGTCCTATACTTACTAAATTTTGGGAGAAAGTAGACTATATATATATGATTGTGCGACAAAAGCTAACGTTTTCAGAGGATAATATTCTTTTGAACTATATACCTAGTACGTGGAACTGAACAACCTGAATGGATTCTCTGTGCCTTTATTATGGCCAAAAGATTGATATTGCAGCATTGGAAAAATACACATATGGCCCCATTTATTCAATGGACTGAAGACCTGATTGCACTTGCCACTTATGTGCGGATTGCCTATAGACATAGACTTTGTATGGACAAGTATAATGAAATATGGGACTTGTTTATACAAAATACAGTAGGTTAAAAAAAATATGACCGTCACAAAAATATATTGGAAATGTATATGCATCTGAATAATATTTGCATTAGATAAATGTATACAGATTTGTAATTATTTACTGTTATGATATACTATGCCAAGTTTTTATTTCCTTTGTTGTATTTTGTCCCTTTTTTTGTAATAGCACTTTTAATTTTTTTTCTTCTTCTTGATAGTGTATTATTTTTGTGTTTTGTTTTTGTTTTTGTTATTAATTAAAAAGCAATACAATTATTTTAAAAAAAGAACTTCAACAAAAGTTCTTTAGAATATTCAGTTGCATGGCAAAGTAGGCACCACTTGTCAAACTGTATATTCAATAAATCCACACATGAACAGCAGCTGATACAGCTCCTACCATTATACAAAGTTAAACACAACATCTTTTAAAATGAGTGTAATTAGTAAAATTAAAACAGGAAGGTTTCTGTTCAATATGGCAAACAGTCCAATCTTTTCCATACTCACTGTAATAATCTTTATGTATAATGACAGCATAATAAAGTAGGGATATTCTTAAAGACATAGACATTTCTATTATTGTTCAAGTTTATCCTCTAAAGACACAAGTTGAAGCAGAATTTGTGGTTAGGATTTTTATTAGGAATTGCAGTCTATAAATATATATAAAAACATGATTTATGTGCAATTTATAAACTATATTCTTACCTTAATGGTCAAAAAAGCATATTGTTAATAATATAACACAACACTCTGTTCTGCATTCCCCATTTTTGATCAGTGTAAAATAGTAATCTAAACAATGAACATCTCAGGGGTTGAATAGTTTTGCCTGAATTGCAACTATATGGAAATTGCTATTACTAAGCCAAAAGAAGAAAGGGAGTGGGAGAAAATAACATTTCCAAAATAACATTTTCTATTGGTACAACTAGTTAACATATATTTTTACATGCCTGGTAGGAACCCCCCCCCCCAAAAAAAACTCTGAAGTAGCACACCAAGCAATTTTAAAAATAAGGAACATTTTGTTTACCTGAAAATAACACTTTGTAAGTCAAATGGATATTCAATGATTCCTGTCGTTGGAACTCGAACTCTAAGAACATCTTGTTGAGTGGGTAGGTATCCAGAATCTGCTATACGGTCCAAATCGTTAAGATAACTATAGACAGAAGAGAAACATCAGGAATGAAAGATAAGGAAACAAATGCCCCACTGAGAGAAGCAATTATGTAAAGATAATGAAGCAAGAGAGTTTGGATATGGCACGTACGTAGCAAACTATAATGAGATCAGATTCATCCTTGGAAAAAACTCTTGAAAATAGAATTTTATAGCAGAATCCAAATAATTTCTGTATGACTTTCGTAACTTTTATAAACTGTTTCTAGAATGTTTCACGATCTCCAAAATGCTCAAAGTGCCAAGGACAACAATTTAAAACATATTAACCTGTCCTGGCAGTCTTGTTGTACAAATTATCTTCTATATGAAAGTGATGTGGATCAGTAAGATTCAAAATCAAAGGATGTAACATGTGAATTGGATCAAAGTGCTGAATACAGTATAGAATAGTTGTTTGTTACAAACAGAATGCATTTCTTCCCTAAACACAGAAGTTTGTGTGTTCTTTTTCCATAAATGAACATCTACCAGTAGCATTAACAAATGAGTTCAGTTATTGTTAAAACAGGTTCATTGATATCAATGCAGTTTAAGTTAATCATGGTTCTTGAGAGGGTTAATCATCAACTGACTCAATGCAAACATAGCATGACAAATGATCATCTAATCATAGTTCAGTAATAAGATTTTCTCTCCAATTTCCATGCTATTCTCTATAGTGCAATTTCATTTTCACTGGCATTTTCAGAAACGATGACCCTATTTTTAACTGTGATTTTGAAGTAACCAAGATTCGACAATATTTAGAAAATGGACAGAATCATGTCTCCATTGAAACATAGAAAGGTGCCTGAAAAATTCTCCCTGCAAAATATTTATCCTATATATTTTTAATATTCTGATAGTCATATATTTAGATTTATTATATATTCATTTAAATTACTCATACAAAGATATACATGCAGTATAAAATAGCAAATAACCACATAAAATCTATCAAAACAACAAAATAAAAAAGACAAAATAAAATTTCTTCAAAAATGCTGCAGAAAACACTAAATTCTTAACCTGACTATAGAAAGTATGTAAGGTTGACATGTACTCAAGGGCTTTCCAAAATGAAGACTTCTGCTGCAAAATCTAGATATCTACTTGATACATTCACCTATTCTAAAGAGATGAACAGTTTAAGATTTGAGGAGGCTGCTTTGATAACAAGCGTTCTTTCAGATATTCAGCCCTTACAATATTTAGGAATCAATCCAGTTCTCATTCAAGGCACAAATGACCAGGCTCAAATTACAATATTTTGGACACTTTATGCAAAGATCTCACTCTCTTGAGAAGTCTATAATGCTGGGAAAAGTGGAAGGAAAGAAAAAAAGAGGATGACCAGCACTGCAAGGTGGATGGACTCAGTTATAATGGTGATGGGTACATCATTGCAAGACCTGGCTGATGGCAGATCATTCTGGAGAAAATGTACCTAAGTGGTCACTAAGAGTTGACACCAACTTGATGGCACATCATCATATGTAAACATCAGCACCATAAGATGTTCTTGAAAATTAAAACTAACATCCAAAATATCAGAATGTATCTGATTATGTCTAATTCTGGCTACAAGTAGTCCTTTGTTAATGACAGCAGTTGGGACTGGAATTTCCATTGCTAAGCATGACACTGTGTGATGTCATGCAACCGTGTTGCTTAGTGATGACAGTTAATGTTAAGTGAATCATCACAGGTTGTTAAGCGAGGATGTCATGTGGTCACCATTTGCGACCTCCTGCTGACTTTGACTTTGCTTGTAGGAAGCCAGCAAAGAAAGCGGCAAGTGGCAACCATGGGATGCTGAGATGGCCGGAACTTCAAGGACCAGTCATAAGTACCACTTGTTCAGCATCATCGCAAGTTTGGTTGTTGAAAGAATGGTTGCTGCACAAGGACCACCTATACCGAGTCATATTTCAGGGCAGTCCCATTTATAATGTTTTATAGTTATAGGCAATCCTGGTTTAGTGACTGCCTTATACAGCAACTGTTTGCAGTTACAATGGTGATGAAAAGGTAACTTTGCAACCAATCCTTGTATTTACGACTTTTATAGGTCTGTATTGGAAGGGAAAACTGAAGTAAGATTGTAAGCACAGTTGTGGTTTCACTTAGCAACTGCTTCACTTAACAATTGAGTTGACAGTCCCAACTGTGGTTGCTAAATGAGGACTACCTGTATTCAGCCTGAAGATTGCTTGCGGATGAATCACTACAGGTAGTCCTTGACTTACAGCCATTCATTTAACAACTGTTCGAAGATACAATGGCACTGAAAAGTTACTTATGGCTGGTCCTCGCAGTTACAATTGTCTGTCACATGATCAAGATTCGGGTGCTTGGCAACTGGCATATATTTACAATGGTTGCAGCTTTCTGGGGTCATGTGATCATCATTTGCAACCTTTCCAGGGGGTTTCTGACAAGGAAAATCAATGGGGAAGCCAGATTCACTTAACGACCATGTGATTTGCTTAACGATTGCAATGCTTCACTTAATGACCATGGCAAAAAAGGTAGTAAAGTTGGGTATGACTCACTTGATTGCACTGCTTAGTGATGGACATTCCGGTCCCAACTGTGGTCGTAAGTTGAGGACTACCTGTATATAACTTGCCTATCTGGGCCACCAAAGCCATGTCCTTCTCAAGTAAGAATGCCTGCTTTTTTCAGGACACTGCACAATGACCATGAACAGGTTTATTGCTTTTTTTTTCATACCGAAGTTTTAGCTATCAGCAATACTTTAGCTGATTTAACACAGCAGCCTCGCTGAAATGTTAAAGAATATGGGAGGTAAATTGGAATCTTTTGAGATCCCCTAGCACAAGTGCCATGAAAGTTAAATAGCACATCTCTCCACAATGCTATTTTCTGCAAACAAATTTGTAGATACATAGAAGCAATTCACAGAAGACAGTCCAGCAGCATAACATGGTCAAGAGTAACAAAAGCTGCAAAACAGATCAAGGAGAATCAACAGGAACATGCTTTCTCCTCACAGAAGTTATGCATCAGGGGAATTATACCTATTTTAGAGCTAAACTTAGAAGGATGTGAATTGCAGAATCAATGTTCTGTAGTTGTATTGGTACCAATTTCTTATATTTCTTGTCCAAAAATGAAATATTTGCAGCAGGGTAGTAGTTATACAGTTATCAGGATTTGAATAAGCTTTTGCAGCTACTAATAAATCTTCAATTTAAAAGATTAATGTGGGGAAGGGGTATCTGTTAAAGCATAATATCCACTGAAATGGATATTAAAAATCTCATTGAAATCAAATGAGATTTTATGCATATGTATTTTATGCATGTTACAAATATAAAATGGCATTAAATAGGCTTTTTATGCACGTACAGAAGAATACAGCATACAGATGGATTTTGTCAGTGGTAGCCAAAGTCTGCTAAACTGAGTTGGGGTTTGTTGCATAGAATGTGCTGGTAATTCTTTTAAGATATGTAGGATCCTTGCATTCACCCAATAAACTTTTCCATGCTGATGTAAGCAATCAAAAAAGTTTGAAGAATGCAGGTAGCTAGCCAATCACATCCAAAAACATTGCCCATATTCCTAGGCTTTGTCAATTGAATCAGATGCTGTAAAACCAAACCAGACTGTGCTATAGATTCCTCTGAAGGAACTGTATCAATAAGTTTGTTACAGCAGGCCAATAAACACAATAACCACTTTACCATTGCAAAATTCTCTGCAGGTTACTCAATGAAACAACAGCATTTTGAATAGCATCCCAGCTATCCTGAGATTTTTCCATTTGAAAGGAGCCCACTTTATCCCTGCAGCTTGCCAGGTCTTCATAGCCAAGATCGGCTCTCAGCTTCTCTATGGTGTCCAAATCTGTACAGTACTTAGAGAAATCTTGACATCCTTGAAGCCATTTGCTCTAAGTTTATTAGAGATATCCTTGCAGTCCCATGATAAATTAAGAATGTTGCACTACATTTAGACATGGGCTTGGTCTCTGTGGATGCTAGACTTTGGTACTATCTTTTTGTTGTTGCTGTTGTTCAGTTGTTAAGTTGTGTCTGACTCTTCGTGACCCCATGAACCATATTGCGCCAGGCCTTCCTGTCCTTC